AGAGGAGCCTGAAGGAGGTGTGTGTCTGTCAGTATTCACTGAGAAGTTTAAAGAGATGGTTCAAAACCACTTAGGCTACTTCTAGGGGTAGGTTAGGTGTAATTTACTCAGGTTTTGACATAGGCCATTCACCTCTTGGAATTCTGGACCCCCCCCTCCCGAATTTGTTTGTTGTACTCACAGGAGTGAAAAACATTAACTTGACCTCTAGAAACAGAGTGTCTGTGACTCTACGTAATCTGCAGTTTCCATATAGGGACTATTTGTTTGGTAGAAAGTAGTTCCAAACTGGTTTTTTTTGCCTTCCTTGTTCCATATTTGACTGTGTGTAATGGTCCATGATTCGCTGTGAGCTGTGTCTGTATTAACCAAATGTGTCATATTTCTCTGTTTGTAGTTCGACCTGAGGGGGAAGTTGGGTTTGCTGATTGGGAAGATTACAAAGAATGAGGACATCCTCTCTCAAATGAGGGACATGGAGAACAAGCTAAAGGTAATTCTACTTATTACTTACTTTTACTTGTGAAAGAAGCTTAATTTTTAAACAACAATAAGGGATCTGTGTTCATTTGCAGTCCATTACAATTAGTTTTTGTATTGTAAAAAGTTATTTTGTGCTGCATTAACCTGTCTTGTTTAATCATGATCCTCCCGTAGGACTCCGCGACCAACAGGATGAGAGCTTTGACAGCTGACTATCAGCAGATGCGGGATATGTTGGCCCGAGAGGAGCGTGACGCTCACAGTGCAGTGGAACATGAGCTGGAGACTGGTCAGACCAAACTCAGGGGTCTCATGAAGAAGTTCACTGACAACATTGATGGTATGAGCAAAGCTAAAGAGGATATCCACCGCCTGCTGAGTCAGTCCCAAACTCTGGCCTTCCTACAGGTGAGATAGCTGTCATCATCTGCAGTAGCTGCAAACTGATCTGAATAATTTAGGTAAATGTAAGGAAAGCAAAAACTGCCTAGTTGGCCCTGACCATACATTCAAATATAAAGCAATGCTTTAAAAAGGCTTAGCAATATGTTATTTGATGCTCTGAACAGGTATGGAATTATTCTTGACAGTTGTTGCTGAGATCCTTATTTTTGCCTGCCTCTAACATAGGATGTAGCCACACACACGTACAGTACATACAGTATGTTGACACCAAACTAAAGGATTTCCCAGAATTTTCACTGGAGGGAAATATATTCATCTAGATATCTATTTTTACATGTCTGTCTTAATACAATACTCATGATGGGCATGAGTATTGTCCTCCTGTTCATACTGGCTGTGAAGAGATCCCTTCTTATAGTGAGTTCAGTGTAAGTGATGGAGGACTTTTACAGTAAGACTTAAGATAACCTGAGCCAGTAAATGATGGGAGTGAAAAGGGTTAAGCTGCACTTAATGTCTTAATGCCAGACTATCTTTTAAACTGGCTGCATACATGAATCAGCCAAAAATGTGTTAAGTTCAACCCAAGCCTGATGTGAATATTAGGAAACTCATTTTCTAATCTTCAAATTCTTCAAAATCAAAGAAGACAACATTGTATCCCTCCCTCACAGGCTTCACTTGACCTGCCCCCAGCCACAAACTTTGACCCTCACACCCCTCGAATCAGCCTGGACTCCAAGAAGGTGATGGCAACACAGGCCTTTGCTGCTTCCCTGAAGGAGTTTTTGACAGAGATCCTTAAACAGCCTGTTCAGTCCAGACTGCCACTGCTTAAACCAGGTGATTGTGGAATACACTGGATATTAAATCAAATGTTGACTTTATCGATTCTTTCCCTTGTGCAATCGTTGTATCTGAGATCTTCATTGGAGCTTTGTGTGTGTGTGGGTGTGTGTGAGAGAATCATTGAATAAAAGGCTTATTGTAAAGCACTATCCTAATGAAGTACATTTACCATTAACAGAACAAAAAGCACTTCCTGTCTCGGGAAGTACTGGACCTCAGGCACAATCTGGTATGTTCATCTCTATCGTATATGTCAATATGTGTGTGTGGTCTACATACTGAATCTCTAAAGATACATGCATACATACATTTCTGTCAGACACATATGTGCTTTGATAGCATTTTGTAACACAGGACTCTTTCCAATGTGATTAAATCAAAATGTCTTCTCATTTTACTTTCCCTGTTTCAGAACTACCAAAAGAGTCTCAAAAGCAGAAAAAACTGCCCAGGTCCCACAGTCCAGGTCGTCCACCCATCCAGCCATACTTCCCTGTACCTGTTTATATCCCACATGGAGGCTGGAATCCATCCCATTATCCACAGGGTAGGACAGACAGACAATCACAATGTGATACTGATCATGACAATATGATTAACAAATAACAAACAAACGGTGTAACAGACAGCTATGTGACTCTCAGACACAACAATGGGCTGACAGCAACATAGACTACACCAATTTTCACTGTGATTGTATCGTTTTTGTATGGAGCCAAAGGGTGGGAGACATGTGGGAGGCAACATATACAGTAAATGGGTGGGGTAAATAAAAAAAAAAAAAAACCTTTAAGTTCCACAGATAAACTTTTATGTTCTCTCGCAAAAAATTAGCTGTCTCCCGAGAAATACTCTGAGGGCTAAAAGCACTTCCCAGTATTTGTACCAGGCTGAAAATGTGTATTTCCGCTAAAAAGTGGCATTTTAATATGGGGGCCTTATGGAGATTTATTTATTTTTGCAGCCAGCCTCAACTGACCATTTGGCTCTCCTTGCTCTGAGTGCGTACCGGCCCCACTCACTGAACCCACTCACTGAACTGAAACACGGCTGTAGGTTCAGTTCAGCTCGCTCAGTGAACTGAGAACAGTCGTTCATGTGGGATAAACTCGGATACAGTTTCAGTACAGCCAACTGAAAACTCAAGTCTTACTCTATTATGTACAGCATGTATGTTTTCACGACACCTAATTATTAAATAAAATATTTTACGGATGAGTCCTACAGCAGTAACGGCAGCTGGCCGTCTGTCTGCAACCTTTTATTTCACAAAGCTCTCACCAACCCAAAACACTGCCATTATTGCAAGTGGTGGGTCGGCTCATGTGGGAACTGGTGGAAACTAAAATATCCCTTAAAATGGTTATGTGGTATTGGGTTAATTTTTCATGGATTAAAAGACTTTTGTAATCACAGTATCTGGCATGTCCTCGGCAGAAACAGCAGCTTCTGCCTCAGGATTTACACCTTTGAGCCCTGGAACTTCCGGTAACGCTATCTGTCCACATGTGCTTGATACGTGTTGGAAAAAACAACAAAAACGGACTTTTATATTTTTCTGCCTGTTCAGAGCTGCAGTGGGCTTCAGGCCATCCCCCACTCCCCAGGCCCAACAGTCCAGGTTCTCAATCCAAAGCAGCTCCAAAGAAGAGACCAAGTAAGAAAACTGTCCATTTTTGAATAGACTAATAGGTAACGTAACACTCAGGTGGCAGATTATTAGACACAGCTGACTAATGCAGTAAATCCTCCATGAAGGTTCTAATGTTCCATTGTTGAGAGAGGTGTTGATTCAACTTAATGGTCATTTTGGAGGCTGTAGTGTTTGTGTTGTTGAATTGTGTTGTGTTACATACGACGTGTGTATAATATTTTGTCCGCCCCATTTATATTAACGAGGGAAGAACTCTAGCTGCAGTTAACGATTGCAGTTACTTACTAAATTACACTTCACTGCACTTACTAAACAAACATATTGCGTTTTTTTCTTTAGAACAGAAAAAAGCTCCCCTATCCACTGAAGAAAATATGGGAAATAAGAGTCAAGCCTGTTCAATTGAAAACCTGCTGGATCTCAGTGGAAAAGACCTATCCAGAGGCCGTACTCCTGCAGCCGAATCCAAAATGAAACCAGGTAGACACTATCCACTGTCCACAAAAATCCACAAAAAAACCACTGATTTAGCAGTGCAACATTGTCGGACACACTGTGGAGAGTACAAATATATTAAAATTATTTTTTTTATTTATGGTTACCTTTTTGTACAACCTTTCTTTTGTTATCCATGTGCCTGATAACAAATGACTTTCTTCTTTTGTTTTAGAAACTCTGGGGGACATTCCCCCAGACATAACGTCTGCTGAAAAAAGAAGCGAACTTCTGAAATGTAAGTGTATGCATGTCGAAGGCATCTTCTCCTCATATGTTAATATATTATTATATGTTATTGGAATGCTCATTTTTTCTTTCCCTACCAGTTGCAACAGTGCTCACATTGGATCGAAAGACGGCCCACAAACGCATCGCACTGAGTGAGGGCTTCACAAAGGCCTCTGTGTCAGATGAACACACAGACTACCCTGACTGCCCTGAACGCTTCGCTGTCTGCTCCCAGGTCCTCGCCTCCAAGGGTTTCTCTAGAGGGCGCCACTACTGGGAAGTCAAACTAAGCAGCAACAACTTCATTGGTATAGGCTTGGCTTACAGCTGCATTGACCGCAAAGGTCCCACCAGTCGACTGGGCCGCAATGCCCAGTCCTGGTGTGTCGAGTGGTTTAACGTCAAGCTGTCAGCTTGGCATAACAGCAGTGAGACCGTGCTGGCCAATCCCAATTCAAAGCGTGTAGGTGTGCTGCTGGATTGCGAGGAGGGCACTGCAACGTTCTATAACGTGGCAGACAGGGCATATCCCTTCCATTCCTTTGTGTTTCCCTTTTCTGAAGCAGTGTATCCAGCTTTCTGGATTTTCTCAAGTGGCTCGTCCATTACTTTGTGCAAGATGCAGGCCTGAGGAGCATATGCACACATATACAGTCAGCTGATCTAATTACTGTCATTAATAATGGGAAAGAAAACTGCTAATTGTATTTAGAAAGCCAGTCTTGAATTTATTTAAAAATATAATATAATATATAACCCAACATTGGTTAAAATAATTTTCACATCAGGAGGCTGACTTGTTATTACCCCCCCCAGCTTTTGTTTACATGTTGTCTTTGTTTAAAGCACTATTCGTGATTACTGCTAAGTACCCTTCTGTTGGGTCTGCTTTGTACCAAGAAAATGAGAATAGATGGTGGTGGTTATTCAGCCCTACCTGAGAATATTGATACACAGACAGCTTGAAGTTTTACAACTAAAAGAGAGGTTAGAAGATTAAGGCACGTCATAGCTAATCTCCTTAGCTGTTAGCTATGCTAGCTGTGATTTACAGCTGCTGAATTTGTGGTTATGTGACCACAAATATTACGCTGGCTTCTGAAAACACAGGAAAAGTAATAATTCTTGTGTTTTCAAGTCTACAGTCTGCATCCTAAGACTGTGACGCACTGAATCACTTCATGGGGAGTGTGTTTGAAGCTATATTATATCTTACATGCAGAAGGAATAAAAAAAGAAAGCTGGAAGAAGTGGAAGCTGGGTTTCCTTATGTTGGTTTCAATTCTGAGAAATTTCATCTACTTTCTTCTTTTCTATAATTATAACACACGTAACACACACTGTGCACTGACGGTATGGCATGTGTGTGCTAATGTGTCTCCTGCATTGTAACTGCAGATTACTTATAATGCGCTGTCGACTGGTTGTGAATGCGACCGGATGAAGAAGTGAATTAATCTCTTCACTGTCCAGCATATGTCAGTACAGTGTTTTCATCTGAAGACTGCATTTGAAAAATGCATCTTTTGGTGTGTGCTGGAGTATAGCTGTTATAGGGCGGGGCGATATGACAAACATCAGGATTTTTTTCCCCATATCAGTCGATATCACTATGTCATGATATGAATAATTTCTGGAGACATTAAATATTCCTTTAAAATGAATAATCTCAAAAAAATGAAAACGACAAACATTTTATGGGCTGTAAATTCAAAGTCCAGCATGTAACAGCCTAGTCACTGTTGGGTTGTCATTTCTTTGCTGACACACTCACTGAAGATTCCTCTTGCCTATCCTACTTTTGATACCAAAACAATAGCATGCTAACTCAACCTCATTAAAATGTACACTCCTAGAAGATACCATGTGATTAGCTGGAAATAGATTTGTATCTGTGATGTGATTGGCTGCTCTGTCTGTAGGGTATGCTGCTTGTATTTAGTATTTTTAGGGAGATGAATTAATCTATTGTTTGTATCGCCCAGCCCTATCTGGTCACTTCCTCAACTCTGACTCAGCTGATGAGAACAGAAGCCACATAGACTCTGTTCTTATCAAGTTCTGCTTTTTCTTTGGATTATTGCTACAGCAAGGAAATACTGGGGGAGAGGGAACGGGATGAACTGCAGCAATAGTGCTTGGCTATGTTTGAACCTGGGATGTCATGCTTGCATGGCACGCCCCATAGAAATGCAGTGCTATACTATTTTATATCTATGGTAGGCACATTAAACCAACAAGCCATCAGAATGCTCTGTTGGCTTTTGATAAGGTTGTAAGGTAGTAAGATGTATATTAGTTTCACAGGGGTAAATTATTGTTTAATACAAAGTTTACTCCGGTCTGTAAGATGTTTGCTGAAGCACCCTGATGACATACAGTGGCTCATCTCCTGATGGGGCACCACTGGAGTCTATCAGCGGCTGGTCAGTGTGCCTACTGATCATTTTCATTCAGACATTCCAAGCTCATTTTGCAGGTGCTAAAAGCTAAAAAAGCTAAAAGCTGAGAAACTGTATGAGTGTCGAGCAGCAGAGATCTGTCTACACAACATACAGCACCGTAACAGTGAGCGTAGCTGTTTGAACATGGTTCTCGTTGATCTTTGTGACCGCACTGCATTTAAGGGGTTCAGAAGACACTGTTGTCTGGAGTAACTTAACTATTTTTAGGTGACATGTCAATATTTAAAAGTGCAGTACAGCACTGCATGTACAGTCTGAACCTGGGTAGTGAAATCTGCTGTTTTCACTATTTGCCGTTGCTTATCATCACAATGGACAACTGTGGTTTGGGACGTCATAGTTTGTGAGGCTATTGAGAGCTTTCCCATACCATAATGAGGGTCTGAGTACTGATGTTGTGTGAACTGGTTCACTATTTCTACAGACCTTAAATAATATATTGGTTCTATGATCTATGCTTAGTAGAATAAAGGTTTGGTTGTTTGGTTGGCTACTTCTTATGGCTTCTGTTTCTGGATTGTAAAATGTATCTTAAATCAACCGTGGACTCCAGTGGCTTGCAGACCTTTTTGTTGATCCTTGTTTGTGCAGTGCTGATCTGAAATGTAGTTCATTGTTCTTTGCATCTAATACTTTCATGGGACCCAGTACATTTGAGGATTTTACTCTGTGCCCTTTGACAACTCTACATTAAACCAACCCTCTGTGTAAGGCTTCACGTGTGGTGGTTTTGAGTGTACCCAAAAGGAGATGCATGGATTAAATATGAACATAAGATTGTGTGATTGTTTCTTAACAATAATATTTAGAATTAAGACAATCTGTTGTATTACAAATGAACCAGTGATTGTTGTCAATAAAAGCTTTTCTCTCTCGGACGCTCAGCTTTTTTCTTTTTAAGAAGCCTCAAATTATTTAAGGAAGCAAACTAACATTTAGGGAAATGTCCTGTTTTGCTGTCTACAGATGATAACATTGATATCAACCTCAATCTGTATGTCTCATTTGTGCAGCACATGGATGCTATTTATCTATTCATGAGTTACGATGTTTTGTATTTTTCATTAGTTTTTAGTTTCAGTTTACTCTGTTTATTTCCAGTGTGTTTGCTAGACTCATTGACTCACAGGCATGTAGACACACCTGTTTTAATAAACATGCACCAATGCCTCTGTGACATGACTAAACTGACTAAGACTTCCTGTATGCTACCAGTCCAGTTTTTAAGCCTGTCGGTAAACTACAATGTTTCTATAAATACATAGTGTTAGGTAACCCTTGCTCTCAGTGTTCCTTGCAAACTATATTTATTTCTCGAAATGTCAGTGTTCCTTTATTCTCAGTTAAAATACTGCAATAAAAACTGTTAATGTTGCTATCAATAACATGCTCAGAAGAGGTCTCATGTCGCTTTACTGCATCCTCGTTTCCCTCGCTTGCATCTTTTCCTTTCGCCTCAGTCCCTCCCGCCAGGGATGCACAGAGAAAAGAAAGAAAGAAAGAAAGAAAGAAAGAAAGATGCTTTTGACGTTTGGCGCAGTTTGTGTGTGCACACATATGAACTGTACTAATATTAAAATCTGATCTGACGGGCTGGTTCTTAACATTAGGATTACACTGTGATTAATGGCGGATGGACTGAGGCTGATAGGGTTTAGTTTGCCCCCATTAAGAGAGACGCTGTGCGCATTTACTATAAATTCATGCATCTCTAACAGGCACAGCTGTCATATAATGGAGAGAACTCAGCTTATCAAGTTTTATTTTCACCTCTGAATGTCATACTATGAAATGTAATGCTGCTCTTGCTGAAACCTGAATGTGTGCCAGATTCTGTTAGAGGGACATGGACACTTAGGTAAAACGGGCGAATAACAGAAATCTATCTTTCTCAACCAGCTCTCCCACCAATAAAATAGCAAATTGACTGCTCAAAGCGATGGACACAGCAATGTTTCAAACATAGTGAAGAAATCAGCAATGAATGCTCTGAGAGTTCAGCTCTTTAATGATATTTGCTGCAGGGACACTACTGCGTGCTTGGAAATGTTTAAAATAACTGAAAGCCTCCTCTGTCATTATTACACTACTTATTACACTCACATGCTGCATCAGTCCAACCCAGAATGAGCAAAGAAATCACCTGTAACCTCGCGCTGCTCCATAAAGAGGCAGAATGCCTATATTGTGTTTGTTCATTATGTGCATGTGTATTTACTGATATTGTGATACACTGTAAGAAAAAAACCCGT